CAGGGGCAGCGAGAGGCTTCACTAGAGACAGAGTGGGGAGCAGAACAGGCAGATCGACGAAGTACACTGCTGAGGGGACCAGCGGGCGGGTCAAGAGAGGTCTGCCACGCCATGTGGTCACCTCCGGGGCAGGCGGGAATCGAACTCATGCGAAGTGGCTCAAGCTTCTCAGTGCTGTGCTTTAACCCGCTGCGCCACCAGGGAGGGCCTACCTTATTTTTTAAGTCTCTTTATTTTGCTTTCTTTTCACATCAGAAGGGTAATGTACCGACATCGTTAACAAGATTTAAGGGAATCACACACAATGGCGTGAACACCCAGTCATCATGCTTATGAACCGGAAAAGGATCTAGAAAAAGGCACTTCATACATGTGATTGAATTACCGATCCAGCTTGAGGGAATTATCCTGGATTATTATGGTGAGTCCTAAATGCATTTATGTGTGTCCCAATGAAATAGAGGCAGGATATTGATACAGAAGAGGAAAAGACAGTGTGACCACGACAGCAAAGATTCAAGTATTATAGCTATCAACCAAGCAAGGCTGGCAGCCACCAGAAGCTAGAAGAGGCAGGGACCAGATATTCCCCAAGAGCCTCCAGAGGGAGTGTAGCCCTAGTGACACCTTACTTTTGCCGCAGTGATACTGATTTCAGACCTCTGGCCTCCAGAATGCTGAAAAAGTTAATTATTGACTTAAAAATTTGTTTAGTTCTTCTGATCAGCCTATTGATTTCATTGAAGTACCATTGTTTTGCATCCTTGTTAATATTTTGGATGTATAGAATTTATTTCTGCTTTTTTTAAGTCAACTGGTGGTGATTTGTCAGATCAACCATAGGGGAGATGCGCCAATAAGATAATATATTGTCTATGTGCTCCGTGCTTGCTTTGGCAGCACATATATAATAACCCAGTGCTCCAGCGACTGAGCAGATGTTAGAAAAACAACATGTTTTCAAATAGGTTTTTTAATTTCACTTTTAAATAGCCACACTTACTTGCTGAAGGAATGTGTCTGACTATTGGGCACAGTAACTCAAAACTTGGAATTGAAACTGGACACTGCCAAATGTCCCAGTCCACAAGTTCTCAGGCCAGATTTTCTAGTAGTACTTGTGTTTTATTACAGCTACTGCCAAACCTCTACTTCACAGAGATATGGCAGCATTGAGAGGAGTATAATATGATATAATGTTGAAACTGTGAACCTACTGACTAAAAACTCACACACAGTATCCAATATTTGTCAAGTATTGCTTTGAATCCTTCAAAATTTTAAAATAGTCCACTTCACTCAAATCTTTCAATGAGGAAAGTTTACCTGACCATGCTATTGAAAATTATAATCAGTTCCCTGTATTTCTTTCCTTCAATGTAATTCCCTCTACTGAGATCCGTGTCTCCCAAAGTACTTAAGAGTCTTCTACTATACTATGTAATTGACTTGTTTATCACAGCCTGGGAGCACCCCAATAGACCTTGTGAACCACAGTCTTAACTGGGCTCCTGCCCTTGCTCCTCTCAAATTTGCCAACACTGCCACCATAATGATCCTTTCTAAAAGCGAGTCAGAATCTGTCCTTCTGTTCACACTCTCCGTGGCTTGCCATTTTTCTCACAAAGCCAACATCCTTACAATGGCTTAAAAGTCCTTACCTATATCAAGAGTTAGCAAACATTTTCTATAAAGAACAAGGCAGTCGATAAGTTAGTATTTATGGGCTAGATTGATTCTAGCTATTCAGTGTGGCAGTGTAGCAAGAAAGCAGCCACTGCAAATATGTAAACAGTGGGTGTGGCTGTGTTCCAGTAACTTTTAAATGAGGGCCACACTCTAGTTTGCTGCAACCTGCCCCACAGGATCTACTGCTGTGCTCTCTCCCTCACACCACTCCAGTTATTTGGAGTCCTTGTTGTTCCTTAAATACATCAACAAGCTCCTGGCTCAGTGTCTCCCCACACTGGGACTCACTTCTTACCTATTTTAAGTCTTCACTCATATCTTTCAATGAGGGTTTATCTGACCATGCTGTTGAAAATTATAATCGGTTCCCTGTACTTCTTCCCTTCAATGTGATTCCCTCTACTGAGATCCGTGTCTCCAATAGTACTTAGTCTTCTACTATACTGTGGAATTGACTTGTTTATCATAATAATTGTTTATAATTCATCCATCACTAGAATGTTAAGATCCTTGTGGGTGGGTTTTTTTTTTTTTTTTTTTTTTGGCCTGCTTTGTTCACTGGTTTATGCTCAACACCTTGAACAGTGTTTGGCACATATAAGGCACTCAAAAATCTTAGTTTAATGACTGTCTGGATGGATGTTTTTCAGAGTATAAAAGTAAGGCATGCAATTCATTCTCTGATTCAAAAACAGAGTGCCCAATGGATACCATAACTTCAGGTCTTCAGGTCCAGTCTCCCAGCCAAGAACAGACCCCAAGCTGAGCCCCAGCCACTAGACCGCCATGGGTTGGTGTCTCACAGCCACAGCAGGAACTTCGCTGACACTCAAACAAGAATGTGAAAAGAGGCGATTTGTTTAGAGAAATAGTTATGAGGAGAGGTTTATTATGGAGAAAAGGAACAGAAAGAAAATGGAACTCCCAGACCTGCGGAGCCAGGCCAGGGAATGGCAAGGAACTTAAGTGGAGTCGCGCCTCAGAGAATATGCACCTTCTTTCTTTAGTTATTCTAAAGCCCCTTCTCTCTGTGATTGGTTAGTTCTTGGTGGTCTCACACACCGTGTCTTAATATTCTGAACCCAGAATTACATCTTGCATCTTAGAGTCTTTTTTCTTCAGCATCCTTGTCTGGAAATGTCCTGTTGCTCCTAGTGGAGGGGGGAAGGGGAGGGTGTGCGTGTTAATTAGTTCTCTGGAATTTGTTGCTCTTATCACTGGAGCCTCCCTTATTCTTCCAAGGCTTTTTCTATTCTGTTCTGACCCTAGAAGCTATCCACTTGCCCTATGACTCAGTCATTATTTTTGAAAAGAAATATATAGGCTAAATGTAAAGTGATAAAAATCCCTCAAATACCCCTAAAGTGTCTAATCTCATTTAACGCTTGCTGAAAATGACAACTTTGAAAATGATACTCTTACATAAAACAAATGGCTCTGAGTTATTAGGGAATAAATTATACAACTCACAGCTCACAGCTAACCAAGAAGGAAACATGTCTAAAGTAAAATGACCCTAATGTACACATTTAACCCTTAATTATAACAATTCACATACATTAAAGACCTTTCCAAACACACATAAAGGACTTATTTTCCCACCTAGTGATTTTCTTGGTGGCACGAGATACCAGTTTTCAAACATAGGTGGAGCCCTAAACCTCAGATTCATCTTAATGTCGCTGATTTTACTATAATCTCAAGGAATAACTTCTTCATCATGTAATTCCAACTCTTATAGAAAAGGAACTTAATTTCTAAGTATTCATAATATATGAATGTAAAGGCTTACAGTGCACTAGATGCATTGTTGTTTTTTGACAATTTATCTCACATCTTTTTCTTCTCAAGGTATTTATGTTTCAAATTCTATTTGCCATTTTGTATTCACAATAGGTTCATAGATAAGATATCAGTATACAGTACATTTCTGCTTTCAGAGTACATTTCTGCTTTCAGAGTACTCCCAACCCCAAGCAAGCTTTATGATAGGCTGATATAGTGCCAAATATGGAGCTCACCTAGCATCTCCCTAAGGAAATGCACTCACCTGAAAGACTTTTTTCCCCTTCTGGTGGCTCTAAATCCTCATCCATCATGGCTTACACAGAGGAATTGACTTTTCCTTATGATAGCATATCTATCATCTGACATGGAGCCATGAGCATGATAGGAACTCAATAACTGCTCTAATAATGCAGGCAGCTAGGCTAGGAAGCTTTCTGCTGCTGTTTCCAAATGCCTTCTAAAGAAGACTTGGCCTAAAAGCATAATGGCCACTGTTTTATGTGTAATCCCTGTAATTCATTTGGGGGAGAGTGAGACACCCTCTATTTCAGCAACATCTAACAACATCTATTGAGTGTTGTGTGGAGTCCCAAGTTGTTCTAGGCGCTGGGAGTGAAGCAGTGAATGAGTCAGTAATAGTTCCTGAAGAATATATTTTATTCTTTATTTAAAATATATTTTATATATTTTATTGAGGAATGAAAGATAATAAACAGCCTAGACCATAGCAGATAGTAGTAATGACTATAAAAAGAATTAAACAGGACCAGGTGGGAATGGGTGGCTACTCAGAATATGTGGGCAAGAGATTCTCTAAGGGAGTGACAAGTGAACTATGATATGACTGAAAGAATGGGGGGGGGGGGACTCTCTGGTGGTACAAGGGGTTAAAGCTATCTGTAGCCACTGTTGCACAAGTTCAATCCCCTACCAGGGAGGTGACCCACATGGCTCAACAGCCTCTCCTGTCTCATCCATTGCCCCCTCAGCAGTGTCTCTCAGTAGATCTGCCTGTTCTGCTCCCTACTCTGTCTCTGGTGAATCCTCTCACCGCTCAGAACCTCTGGACTGTACCCTAGTTCTTGTATGCATAAATAAATAAAGCTTTATTTATTTATT